ATGATGTACTTTTTGTATGACAAAGAATATTGAAAATGTACCTTTATGAAAATGTATGTACATAGTAATCATTTGTAATTAAAATTCATGTAATCAAAGATTGAATGAGAGATCTTGAATTCCGCCAACAGAATATGTGGAAAACTCTTTCATATGATTTTTGTGGATGAAACGTGAATGAAACAGAATCTTTTTTTTTATTTCAGTGGACAAAAGTGCATTTTGTGCAACGATATCAATTCAGTGGAGGAATATCTGAGAGTCAACTGTGCCTGACTGGCAAATTGGCAAAGGCTAATTTATAAAAAGATTAGATTTTTATAAAAGGATTTGTGATAACTATTTTACATGTGGTAGGGTTCACCCCCGTTCTTATTTTAGTTTGCACGCATATTCCAGGTTGCCTTGATGTTTCTGGTTGCGAGTTGCAATTCATGTAGTTATTTAGAAGTCAGATCTCCTGCTCAAGTAATTACAGCAATAACACAGTGCAATTATCTTTGCACTGTGTTATTGCTGAAAATATCAAGTCCAGCCTTAAAAATTTAACTTTAGTCAAGGTGCAGTAAACTTACACATTATGAAGAAAGACCAGAGTGTGAGTTTGAGCTGCATTTTAAAGACTTGTTTTAGCCATATGAAAGAAAAATAAGTTTTAAGGTGTTTGTGTTAACATGATAGTTAAAGATAAATAACATTTATTCAGGACCAGAGCTGTGAAGGTGCTATAGAAAACGTAGGGTTGCCTAGTCAGAGAATACTTCTACGCGTAATTCTGGAGGGCATGTACAAACATGTTTTTCTGTTTCATTTGAACAATGTGTTGCTCTGTACAGTGATACTCTTAATTAGCTTATCAAGCAGGTGGACAGCTTCATGGCTCATGTGTCCGCTGTATTGGTGGTGAACGTCATGTCACTTTCACGCAGCTATAAACAATGTTGTTGATCAGCTGCTAGCTGGAAGAAAAGCTGCTTTTTATGTTTGACTTTTAATTATTAAATGTTTGCATTTAAACCTTTTTCATTGGTGAAAACAGTGATGCATTTTATGAATCAGTGACAGATGACCACCTAAATGCAAACACCAGTAAAATACAACATGGACAAAGAATACATTATTTCCGAGGCTTAATTTTTAAGGACGTCGCTAATGCTTCATTAAACGAGTTCAGACAGGAAGACTATACTCTCGCATGCCTAAGCCCATAGCTTATTCACCATACATCTGCTATCACTCCTCATGCAGGCACACTCATTATTTCCTGGCTGTTATTGTTCGGGGCTGTCAATTATATCAGCTGTCTAGATCAGCTGGTCTCTCTAGCCAATAAGACAAGGACACAAGGACACCGTTAGCCTATCATCTGGCTGCTGTCTCTCTTTAAAAATGATTGTCTCTCTACCTTCAGTTCGTTCAAGCTGATGTTACGCAACCCTCCACCTCCCCATCTCTGCCCAATCTTCGCAGATTCATCAACTTCATTAACTCATCATTCTATCAGCCTCATCAGCACCACCACCACCAGTGTCTGGACTCCACGGGGGGGATTTATATTGTTGCCGCTCAGGGCAATCACAACTCGATCACAAATCTCCTCGTTGAGTTCAAGCGCCAAAGAATTTCTGTGTAACTCATTAACGCAGCATCTGTCATAATAAATATTAACTACTAATCATCCACTTGTCTCTCCTGATTGAAATACATTCACCAGAATATCCTGGATTATGTGGTAGGGAGGACTAAAAGCATGCTTCTCTTCAACTCCCAAATTTGGGCAGAAAGGTTGAGAAGACTTTGAAATGGGAGAGACATTGTTGATCTGTTCTGACATATTGACACATCTTCCGCCTATTCAACTACCATAATGGACAAATGAAAGCAGCGTGCATCAGTTGTACTGTTCACAGAATGACTCAAACTTTATGAAGACATCTGAAATGACAAAACAAGTTGAGTACATAAGCACACACCGACGAGAGAGAGGAAGACTCATCGCAGACAGAAGGAATGAAGGAATGAAGGAGTGAAGATGGAGCTGCTATCATAGCAAATATACGTTAAGATTCTGAGTTAGCAGCAGCAGTATGTTCATTTCATAAATACATCAACTGCCATTCACTTGCCCTATAAAGTGACTGTAATGTTTGACTGCAATAAAAAAACGCTCAACTATCTTGCATAGGAATATTCAATTTGCCTGCTCAGTAGTAACTAACTGTTACTAACTGTTACTAACTGAGTCATAAGCCATGTTTTGCATTTAATAGTTAGAAATGAAGCAGAGTAATTAAACTGCTGTAAAACGTGGATTAGCTTGCCGTCGCTGTGAGTCTGATTAAATCTCTCACTGACTCTGACTGAGCCATTCATTTACAGTTGGATGTGCTGTATCTGTCAAACACATTCATGCTTGTCAGCAGAAGGACATCTGGTGCGTCAAGTGTACTCTAAGTGATGATGTTTAAGGGATGTACGTCTAACCGACTCTTGTCCTCTCACTCGTTTAAGCTGTAATCTCCCTTTACACCACAATCAATCTCTCTCTTTCCTTATGACATCCATCCATCCTTCTTCCAGCACTCCCTTCTTTCAGTTTCTCATCATTTGTTCCATCTGTTGCTGAGTGTATGGATGACTCATCTGAGCAATGAGAGCTATAGAGAGTATGAACAGAAAAGCAGAGGAAAAGGATAAACACAGAAGCAGCAGCAGAACTCTCACTCTTCATGGTGGAGTTGATGAATTTCTTGTGATTGTTCACTAAGCCCTGTGCCCTATTGTGCTCTCTGCTTGGTCTGAAAGCCCACGACTCTGAAGGCCCGTTGCTCTGAGATTACACACTGTGAACTTGAAGTTCAGTGACTGCCGGCCTACTTTCCAGACCCTGTTATATATTGCTAGATTTAAAAGATAATCTTTAAATTATAGCAGAAATCACAACGTATGGCTTGGTACGACTCCTCATGAAATATGTTTCATTTTGGCCGATATTCAAATTTAACAGCTTTTCTGTGAAAGTAAAATAAACAAAAGTGGGAGTTAGTTTTCAGGATAATGGGCCATCGGACTGAGGGCATGGCACCTTCTGCTCTTACACACAATATATGCAGCAATGATAACAAATAACAATTTCAAAATTCTCTGTATTTTTTGAAACAATGGATTCTGGATTCAAGACAGAAGACAAAAAACAGCTTCTCGTCTCTAGCTGAGAACTCTTGATTTTTCTGTCTGAAATGAGCTTTTGTTGGGAGAGTTTATCAGCTGTAGCTGGCTAGTTAGGTGTCGCTAAATGAGGCCCATTAATTATCTCTTCAATATTCATAACAAATGGCTTAAATTACAGATTTTATATATCAAAAAAAATAATGAAAACACATTTGATACAGTTATAAAAGTTCTGTGTATGTGCAGGTGGTTAGGTAGCTAGATCTGGATACCTCATAAAGCTATGGTAACTTATCTCCAAATGTTCCACCCTGTTAGGTTTATAGACCAATTCAAAACCAGTCAAGCCATAAGGATTATTATTTTCCTGACAGTTAGACATGTTTCTATTCCTAAATAAAAGAAGAAGAAGAAGCTCTCACATAATACATCGCTGATGGATTTTGAAACGTATTTTACCGTTGAAGCCTTAATTAATGACCATCTTGGGTCACTCTGCCCCATTCTCACAGTGACTCCACTGATCAATCATCATGAATTTCATCATTTAAATTAAGTCATTAGAGAGATAACTCTGCTGCCTATTGTTATACAACAGTTCACAAACATTAAATGTAGTTGGATATGTTCAGGGTTTTCAATGGATATTCATTTCGTCATGAATGATTATTAAATATTGAGAGGGTTAGGGTTGAGTGCTAATACTAGGGCCAACCTCGGGAGACTGTCATCATGATATTTATGTAAAAGCAACTTGACCAACATTTAAACTTGCCATCCTATTTACATACAGAGCTGCGTGCTGAAGAGGGGCTGATAAGTGGAACAGCGTGAAACTGGTAGCTGGACTCTGTGCTGATCACATGCCTGCCTTGCATCTGTGTGCCCCAGGCGGCAACTTCCGGGTCTAAAAATTGAAGCCAATGCGGATGTGCCTTAAACTTACATTCTTTCTAATCACCAGTAGGGGGCAACTCCTGCTGGTACAAAAAGAAGTCTGATTTTTAGAAAGAAGAAGAAATGATCCTACTTTCCACTTGATTTGACCTCAGTGAACACTGTAAACATCATGTTATGGTCCCATTAGAGTGAAGTAGACAATGAATCAGGGTATGTTTTAGTGCGTGGCTACCTTGTTACTGACAGGTCGCGACCACGACGTTGTCCTGTCTGGGTCTTGTCTACATTTTCGTCTCACAACTTGAACCATGTCACAGTGTGTTTTCGGTTTGTAAAAGTTAATTGAGATATTTTGATGTCTTATACATAATTGGTTTGAACTTAGCTCCACACTCTTGTCACTTCTGGTTGCAAAAAAACAAAATGGTGACGGCCAAAATGCCAAACTCACAGCTTCAGAACCGTAGTCCATGGACCAATAGGTGATATCACGGTGACTACGTCCACTTCTCATATACAGTCTATGGTGTTTGCACACGAGATACAAACAAAATGCGGACCCACTCATCTGAACAGGTCTCCATATCACTACTTGTGGTCAGCAACTCCAGAGGGTACCTTCAGATGAAGTAACATATGATAACTTGCGGAGCTTTGTTCACAGGCCAAGCAACGGTTATGCTCATAATGTGCTCATAGCTATTTAAACTCATTCACTCACTTTCATCTTCAATGACTCTGGAATTTCATTCATTTATGTATTAATTAGCGGATTGTCTGGCTGAGTTTCTAAGATGCCTATATGTCTATTTTTTAGGCAGTACTCAACAGGACATTTTCAATACAGTGTACGTGTGTCAGTCAAACACATGTTAACAACGCCACATGAGACACCTGGGATACCTGTAATCTCCAGTTCAGTGTCTTACCTGTCCGAAAACTGAGTCAAGGATGGGTCGCAGCTTTCTCCTGTCTCCGTCTTGCAGCCAGACGTCACCGGGCTCTCCCACGGGGGACGATAAACTCGAGGTCTTGGCCTTAGGCTTTGGAGCCCTTTTTATGCTAGCTGAACTCCATCGCCTTAATGATTCAATCTTCTTCTTTATGGATCCCTGGAGAACGGAGGATGAACAAAGAGGTTGAAATAGAAAAATTGTCTCACATCACAACTGAAATATATTTAACTCATTGCACACTGTGAGATTGAATTCCTGGAAAGGATGGTATCGGAAAAAGTTGAGGTAAAGAGGCTGCAGGTAGACTTACTGCACACACTACCGCACCTATTGGTGGAATTGCATCCAAACAAATAGCATTTAACATTAACATACATGTACCAGCTCAGACAACAACAATTGATGAGAATTATCAGTTCTTACACACATAGTATTGCTCTAAAATGATATTGCTTTTTAATAAATAAAAATAATTCCATTTTTACAAACAAATAAAGTAAATCGGGTGTCCATGCTAGCCAGGCCTCAGGAGACAAACACTAGTACACCACAGTGTATCATGTTGAGTGTGTATGAGCACAAGTGGCAGGATTTAGGACACAGCAAAGGCATATATATGTCCACTGACCTTCTTAACTAACTTGCCCTCTGACGCCTCCATGGATGATATGCTTTTCGCGTCAGTCATCTTTGCAGCCCAGCTTGCACACACAGAGACGTCCTCTTTCTCTCCGTCTCTCCTCCTGTCACACTCTTGTCCACTACTCCTCTTTATCTGTCCCTAGAGCATCTGACACTGGTTGATAATCTGAGGCGTATCTCCCACTGTTATTGCTCCTCCTCTCATCCCTCCCCCTGTATGTCCTGCATGTATATGATACATGCAGGACATACAGGCATGCACTATGTATAGTACTATACATATATATATATGTACATTATTATTATAATATTATAGTTATGTTATTATCTATATCTAAATGCCAAATATCAATTCATCTCTTTTGTGTATGTGTTTGGTGAGTGTATACTTTAGTGTGTATTCTCTACTAGTCAGCATCTGTCAGCAATAAGTGCTGCAGCAGCGCATTAAATCAGAATCAGAATCAGAATCAGAACCATTTATTGCCAAGGAAGTTTGCACCTACAAGGAATTTGTCATGGCGGTTGGTGCGTAACATTTAACAATAAACAATAACATTAAACTATCAGCAATGAACACAGTGTGAGAAATAGAAACATATTAAAATTTACAATAAAATATAAAATAAAGTGCACAACAAAACAGATAACAGGACTGTAAAACAAGTGAAGTGTAAGTGAAATGTTAAAAGTGACGAGAGTATTTAAATAAAGAAAGAGGGATGTGTAGGGGAGAGCCCAGAAGGAAATGTCCTGGGGATGACAGTCAGTGGGGGACCCTTTAAACCCTTTAAAGCAATACTTACAACCCCTCCCTCCCTCTCTCCACCCACTCTCTCTCTTTCATTCTTTCTTTATTTCTATACCAACTGTTTTTTAAAGCGCTTTATACGACCTATCTGCCTCTATCGTTTTCAGCATCTTAAGTTGTCAATGTTAATTGTTCTGCTGTTTCATTATCTTTATCCTTCTCTGTGTGATTCTGTCTCTTCTGTAGTTGAGTGTCAGTAAACCTCTTTTCTTTACTGCATGTTACATTTCCCCTACATCCACTTATCACACACTCATTTAGGGGCTGTACAAAAATGATCTACACGGGAAGGAAGGAAAAAGCAAGACCACGAAGTTATTCATATTTGTGTTAGCTCCTCCCTGAAAAGACTCTCTCGCTTCCCTTTATTGACTCAATATTGTAGTGGTTTAACTCATTTCATCATGAGTAAGTTGAAGAGTCAAAGCAAAAATAATTTTCAACGATGTTGCCAAATTTGAATCACATCTTAATTGAACTTAATGGAATGTTTCTCTTTTTTATGTTGTAAGAGCCGCCGAATGTCATGCTGAACTTTGATTATATTATGAGCTAACCTTAACATATTAATTTTTTTGTTCTTTATTAATGACTTTTGGTAGAGAGATAATGTGCAATCCCTTATATCCATAACGATGCATGATTTTTATGTGTCTCTCAAATCCCCTCATTTCAAACATATTCTTGTTCTGAAATCCTATTATTTGGTTTCACTGATTATAAAACAATTTAGTGAAATGTACACAGGATGCATGTGGTGACACTTGTCTTTCCTAAATTCTTCCCTCCTTCCTCTTTTTTCCCCCGTTCCTTTTTCTTTGTCGATTTGAGTGCACTCGGCCAATTTCATAGAGAATAGATGAAACAGAAGGGGAGAAACGAGAGATAGTCCCAAAGCCAGAAAGAGCCAGAAAGATAATCTGAATTGAATGGCTGAGAGGAAAGTGGAGCTTTGTACATCAGTCTGGTCCGTTAGGATTAATCCTGCTCTGTCTTTATACTCTGGATCTTCTCTCTCGAATATTCTCTCCAAATTACAACTACCTCTAGTAATCCCACGTTGCTGTGGCCTACATTACACCTCAGCCTGTGTGTGCGTGGGCGTGTCCGATTGAGTGTGATGGAACCAGACAAATGTGGCAGTGTTTAGACAGTCAATGAAATTTAAAACAGATATCAGAAATGATAAAATCCAATCACTCAAAAAGGTGGTCAGATGTTCAAGAGTTCAGATATAAAGTGCACCTGGATTCCACGATCTGGAAAGCTTAATCCTACTTTTCATTTCATGTCTGATTACGTAATCAGTGTGATACTGCACTCTGGTGGCTGAAATCTGCATAGCACAAAGCTTCAATATGCACTAACCAAAGTTTATGAGCCATTTGCTTACAATTCTCCTCACTCATGTTCCATTTGAACACATTTTGAAATAAAAAACATAATTTAGTGCAGCAACATTGTTGTGTTTTCTTCCCTATCCCTTTATTCATCTCATGAGCCTTCACAGGTTGGATTTCTTTCACTTCTATCTAAGTCTATAGTTTACTGTGAGGACAAACAGGGCACAAAAATCAAATAACATCTTTACAGACTTTACTCACAAGCCTTTTACAGGAAAAGGACTGAATTGAAACCAAACCAGATCAATATCTGTGTCCATACCAAATACATATCAATTTAATACCAAAGTGTACAGTACAGACAAACAAAAATATATTTAATACATGTCATTGAGTGAGCCCATTCAATGCTGTGCAAAATATGTTTGACAATACTTAAATGTAGTCAAAATGCAAATATTGGAGTTTGTTCCTAGATACATAATATAACATGAAGAGTCTACAGCTTCTGGTTCTGTGAGGCGGTACAGCAATGCTTTTAGCTAAATGCTACCATCCACTAGCTAACATGCTCACAGTAATAATTCCTACATGGGGATGTTTAGCAGGTTTAATGTAAAATTTGTTTTGCAGATGCTCTGTCATAAAGTGTAGGAGAAATTTAAATGAACATCTGATGAAGACGCTAGATAGAAAGTTAAGGGCTCACCCAGTTATTACAAATCATCCTGGAGGGGGACATAACTGTCTGTACCAAATGTTATGCTTACCCTTATGTTCTAACCTGTCCAATGAAAGTTAAGGCATCCCTAACCTCAACCTCACAAATCTCACCATGGTACTAGATAAAGAGTCAGCGGCTCACCGAAGCTACAATTCATCCTGTTTGGAATACATCTTAAATCTTTACCAGATTTCACTGCAATCCATCCAATAGTGAAGGTATTTTAATAAAAAACACAAACGTCGATGTCATGCTGGCACTAGAGGAAATGTTAGGGGACAACAAAAGTCAATAAGATTCATCACTGGGTACCACAAATTTCAGAAACAATTTCATGACAATCCATCCAATAATTGAAATATTTTAGTCTGGACCAACATGGTGGATGAACAAAGCAACAGATCCAAATTGCAATCCCTAGAGCCAGCTCCTAGCATGGCTAAAAATACTCTACATTGTACTGCTAATTCCTGTTCCACATGCTTTTTTTGTGGCCACAGCTTTGATGTGTTAGGTTTTAGCTATGATCCAGTTCATCTTTTCTTTCTTGTCTTGAATGCTCAAATGAGTGTCTTCGAGGAAAGGGCGGTTGACTGTCAGGTGATTGAGAGGGTGATTGTGAACCCTTTGGTGACCCTGGCGTCGCAAGGCTCACATCTCGACTGCTCTTCCGTCTAATATGAGCTCTTAAACTTCTCCCTGGTACAATCAGTAACCCCCCTCCCTCCTCTACCAGACCGTCAAACACTGCTCTCAGACTCGTATTCACACAGAAATTGGGACAGCTGAAGGCATAGAGAATGGGGTTCAACACGGGGTTCAAGAATGAAAAGGTTGTGGCCAAGGGGAGCCCCTCCTCCACCAGATCGAGATTTTTGAGCCAATACTGGGCTGTCACTTCAATCACGCAGAGGATGTGATAGGGGGCCCAGCACAGAACAAATGCTGCAATCACAAATGTCACCATCTTGGTGAAGTTCTGGGACAGCTGACTGTGATTGGTCTGATTAGGGGTAGTGGGGGAAATGGTGGCAGGTGTCAGGGATAAAGATGGATCGGAGGCCCGAGGCTTGAGAAAGATATTAGTGTTTTTGTGCGTGTAGGGGTATTCATAGTGCTTGATGCCCCAATTTTGTTGGACGCAATCAGTGCATCAGTGAGCCTGCTGGAACTCTGCTTCCTCCTTCTGCTCCTGTTCCTCAGGGTGAGAACAATTTGAATGTAGCTCCCTGCATTGACCACTAGGGGAAACAGGAACGCAAGCAGCAACTTGGAGATGGCTGTTGCTGCCTGCCTGACTTTGCAATCTATCTCCAGAGATGATGTATACAAGGCAAAATTATGATAGCACAGTTTCCTCCCATCCTGTTTCTCAGTCACTGAGCGGAACAGGCAGTAAGGTATTGTATTAATGGCGGCCCACAGCCATCCCAACACACACACCTTCCAAGCTCCTGCCACTGAGCGATGATTCTGGCTCCACACCGGCTTGGCTGCCAGAAGCCAGCGGTCCACTGATATGGCTGCCAGCAGGAAGGCTGACACAAACATGTTCAAGAAGAAGATGGAAGCCTGTGTTTTGCAAAGTAGGCTGCCGAGCTCCCAACTATGTGAGGACGAAAGGTAGAAGGTGAAGCGTCAGAGTTGCCAGGAAGTCAGAAGTTGCCAGGTTCAGCACCCATACAGAGGCCACTGTGCAACGCCGCAGGCAAAAGCCCACCACCCAGAGGATGAGGGCGTTCTCCAAAATTCCCAGGCAGGAGACCAGACCGTGGATGCAAACCATCACCAAGTTGGCCTATGTGTTGTTGTTGAGTGTGTGCTCCTTCATCCTCTGTAGCAGGGGACAGATCAGCTGTCCCCCTGAGGCATCTGAGGTGGGGGTCGTGTTCGACATTGGTGCTGAAGCTAATAGAGAGCTGATTAAAACCAGAGTCAGGGTTAGGAAGTTCTATTGCACACATGCTTGTTCTTGTTTGAAAGCTAAACACGTTATGTGTAGCCGATGTCTACAGTGAAAAAGATTTACCAAAACAGTGATGGTGCTGATGATGGCGATGATTTGAACAATAGATGTGCATTTGCCTGTAGACAGCTGATAGATCAGCACTCCTTTTTCTCAATTACAACAGTGACTTGATGAAATGAGCACTGTAATAATGCTTTTCTCCACCATCAAAAAACTCCTCAAGCCCATGGACACCATCTCCACATCCTTCACCACCAGCAAATGCAACTCATCTCTATCCTTCTTCAACGACAAAATCACTGCAATACACAACCAACTGGCAGCCCCCTCCCCCCCTCTACCACCCACCCAAGCCGTCAACATGACTCTCCCCTACTTCCAAGCCACTCACTCTCATCCTTCAGTTCAATCACTGAAATGGACCTCTCCTCTATACTCTCCAGCATGAATACCTCCACCTGTGCCCTTGACACCATCCCCTCTTCCTTAGTCAAGGCCTGCCTCCCCTCACTCTCCCCTCTCATCACCAACATCATCAACTCCTCACTGTCTTCTGGTCTCATACCCCCCACACTCAAGATCGCTGCTGTCACCCCCGTGCTGAAAAAACCTGGTCTTGACCCCGACATCCCCAACAACTACCAGCCCATCTCCAACCTCCCCTACCTGTCCAAAGTCCTTGAGAGAGCTGTTGCATCACAACTCAAGTCCCACCTCAATCTCCATAATCTCTACGAACCCTTCCAATCCAGCTTCCGTTCAAAACACAGCACAGAAACCGCCCTACTGAAAGTCACAAATGACATACTTCTCTCTGCTTACTCTGGCTTGCTCACCATCCTCATCCTCCTTGACCTCAGCGCCGCCTTTGACACCATCAACCACTCCATCCTCCTCTCACGTCTCCAGTACTCCCTTGGCATAACTGGCACTGCCCTCTCCGGGTTCACCTCATATCTCTCAGACCGACATCAATTAATTGCAATAAACAACTGTAAATCCTCTACCTCCCCAGTCACCCACGGTGTCCCCCAAGGTTCCGTGCTTGGTCCCCTCCTCTTCATCATTTACATCCTTCCCCTTGGACAAATCATGTGTCGTCATGGTCTCAACTTCCACTGCTACGCTGACGACACCCAACTCTACTTCTCCACCAAGACCATCACCTCCGTCACCCACTCCACTCTCACCACCTGTCTCACTGATATAAAATCATGGATGCAACAGAACTTTCTCAAACTCAACTGCAATAAATCTGAAATACTCATCGGCCCTAACTCCCTCACCCGTTCAGCCCAGCCCTTCTCCCTCAACATTGATGGCTCCATTGTCACCCCCTCCACCCATGTCCGCAACCTCGGTATCATCCTCGACCCCACCCTCTCTTTCCTACCCCACGCAAACCACATCACCAAGACTGCCTTCTTTCACCTCAGGAACATTGCACGCCTCCGACCTTCCCTGTCCTCTGCCACCACTGAAATTCTCATCCATGCCCTCATAACCACCAGACTCGACTACTGCAACAGCATCCTCTATGGTTCTCCCAACAAAATCCTCAATAAACTCCAATATGTTCAGAACTCTGCCGCTCGACTGCTCACTTCCACCCGCCGCTATGAACACATCACCCCGGTCCTTCGCAACCTCCACTGGCTCCCGGTCAAATACAGAATAGACTTCAAAATACTACTCACCACCTACAAAGCCCTAAACAACCTGGCCCCTCCCTACATTTCAGACCTCCTCCCCCTCCACGCCCCAACCCGTTGCCTCAGGTTCGCCGGTGCTAACACTCTGAAGACCATCAGGACCAAGCGCTGGACCTGGGGTGACAGGGCCTTCTCAGCTGCTGCACCTCCCCTCTGGAACGCCCTCCCCATCTACATCCGTGAGGCTCCCTCCCTATCAACATTCAAACAAGCCCTCAAAACCCACCTCTTCAACCTCGCCTTCACCCCTTAACCCCTGCACCCAACCCTCACATTCCGCACAGCTTCTCCAATTATTTTTTTTTTTTACCAAAATGTTCTGTTTGTTTGTTTTGTTTGCTCCTCTGTCTTTCTTTTTTTTTTGTTTTGTTTGTTTGTTATGTTTGTCTTTGCCCTGTAAAGCGTCTTTGGGTATTTTGAAAAGCGCTATAGAAAATCGATTTATTATTATTATTATTATCGTCAGGCTTGTTAATCTTAATTGATCAATTACAAATCTATTGAAAACAAAATGTATAAACCTTACCTTGAAAATTAATAAAACCTTATCAAATGCAATTAAGTTGATACTTGTAAGAAATGAAATCAACATGACTGACATGATTACAGGAGATGAATCTTCTTGAACAGTATATTAGTCTTGTCAGCAGAAGACTACTGTGCTCTGCTGTGACTCATATTTGGTACAACAGTCTCCTATGGTTAACTTTTATTTTTTTTTAATAACAAGAGCAAGAAAGACATAGTGCTGGGGCATTTCATGTATGATATATTTACATCCTGTGCTACAGCCTTTCAAGTTGCATGACACACTAACATAATTGGGCTACACATACAGTTGAGTATCACGCAATACACTGAAAACACCATAATATACGAGTGTATACTTTTTCCTTTCCTATTCCTCATTCTCTAGTCACCCAATTGAGAAAAAAAACATTTACACTACACTGTCCCTTTGATTCAGACAACATGTCTAATCCTGTTGCTGTGTCTAAACACATACCAGCTCTTGGGCAACTACACTTGCTTAGTTAAGCAATACTGTCAGAGAATGCTTGAGAACTCAAGCAGATACTAGCTTGCCAATCTGCCAAAAAAGTGAAAGTTTTTCAACCTCAACCTCAAGAACGAAATAAAAATATTGTAAAAGAAATGTAAGCAAACCCATCTGCTCTCTCTTAGTTTTACACTATATTGTCTGACCTATCATATTCTGGGACCTGCTGGGGAATTTCAGCTATTTAGAGTCACACTGCTCTCACTTAGTGTTCTTCTCGGTTGTAAATTCATAATTTCAGGTGATATGGTTGTGTCAAAACTTAGTTATATGAGGTACACTTTGGAGTAACATACAAGAAGTAGCTAACATGTGGAACATCTAGTAGAATTAAATGACTTAAGTGCTGCCATTGTATTCTTACATACAGCCATGGTCCCATACTTAGTCACATCGCCTCATACTGACTGCATAGATGAGGTTAACTCGGCCCCATGTCTGCACATGAATACAGACATGAATAAATGTGTCCATGACACAATGCTGACGGGACTGCTGTCCCATGCAAATATAAATTGCATAAATAGTCAAAACAAAACAACTGTTATTACAGGGCAATGAAATTTGGGACAATGTGCACTGCTAAGCTTTAAAAATGATTTGCTCTTACAGTTATTACTTGTGAAAAACTCTTTTAGTGCTCCACACCACTTCAACTCAGAGGCCTTTCTGGAGGGACGTGGCCTAATCATGGAGGGTATCGTGGCCATTAAGGCTAACATTCGCAGAGAGAGCTTCCAGGCTGCCAGGGAAACACTGGGCAGAGTCCTTCATACACTACAGGTAAGAAGGGTAGAAAGAAACTGCTGGCTATAGAAAGGTTAAAGGGCTGTGTGAGGAGGAAATAGAGTAACAGAGAGAAATATATATTGGACGACAGAATAGTTAGGTTAGACGAGGCAGAATGAGCGAGGAAGGAGACTGAATAGAGAAACCATAACTCTGTCTATGTGTACGGATACAAGTGTGAATGTGTGTCTTTCCATTCACTGTCAGGACTTCTACAGCCACAGTAACTGGGTGGAGCTGGGATACACCGAGCCATACATCAACCTCATACGCCCAGACCTTCCTCTGGAAAACCTGGCAGGTGTGTGTGCGTGTGTGTGTGTGTCAAACACATAACTATGGACATATCTCTGTGGGTTGGGTAACATGTCATAAAGTAGACTATATCCATATTTCTGTAAATAAAACTCCACCTGGGAGCATATCTACAGGCCAAAGAGCAGAGTGTGTTGTTTTGTCTTGCCATGCTATGGTCACAAAGAGTACTTCATTCTGATTGGCTGCTGTGTGGCATTATTTTCAGATAACCAAAGAACAACCTAAATATTATTAATTGTGGATATTGTGTACCTTTTGCTTGTGTAGATGTCAACACTGCCACCTGCAGTGACTGTGCCAGTGGAACGTGTCCCAATTCCATCCTGCCCAACATCCTGAAAGAAAAGAAACTCACATCAGGCTATATGGGAATCTTCTCAGCTGCCAAGCCCAAAGGTATCAGTGAAAGACATGTCTCCAAACCATATTCACATATTGTTAGCACTGGAGCCTGTGCATCACGTTTTAATCACCCTCAAGGTGGGAATAAACTAATTGAATAAGTAAATATTATAAATATATATTTATTAATATATAAAATAAGAATATTTCACTTCCTAATGACTAAACAGGTTACAGTAAGGAATTTTTGACTGGTTCGGATTTCTGGTCAATTCCATATGCATCTATATGACCTAGAAAAGTAAACAAAACCATCTGCCAGATGATTGTCTATTTCTATATATACTTACTCGTAATACTTCTTAATACGAAATCAGACAAAATAATGCAAGTTTACCAGAAAGTACTTCAGTCCAGATGCCAGTGGGGCCTCCTTTATCACAGACAGACCCAGATACGCAGCCTTCAACCTGCCGTCGGAAGCTCCAGCGGGAGGAAACTGATTTACTGGCTTTAGGAAAATAATATTTGTGTTTGCTAGAATGCTGATTCATGTATGTGGCTCAGTCGAGTCCTACACCCTGAAGTAATAGAGTAATAAGATGAGGAGATTGATACCATTCTCACATCTGTCAGTCCATGGCAGTCACTTCCTGGAGTCTTGTGATCATGAGGTTTCCAGGCAACCAGCAGAGACGATAGGAAGTCACTGCTCCTTGCCAAGAAGTAGTTCCGTACAACTGCCAATGAAACATCATTGTCACACTATGTTTTTGTACGAATTAAACAAATGAGATGTAAAATGTTAATCAGTAAGCTTTATAGGTATTGGGTTACCTTTGGACAGAGCCAGGGTAGCTGTTTCCTCCTGTCTCCAGGCTCATCTGACATTCAAGATGCCCCAGATGTTATTGGGTTTTAATGACGGATTGAAATCCAGATGCAACTATCATACAGCAGTTATGTACCTGGAGTACAAAACAAATATGATTCAATTCTGCCATGGACTACAGTCTAACCAGAAAAGCACACTTGAGTACATGACAGGCACAAGTCCACTATGAATAGCAATTTGAACCATGTCCCAGTTCAACCGCCTGTCCCTTCTGCTCTTTGCCAGGTAAATGTAGCCATGGAGGGGCAGCTGACCTGACTAGCACAGCAGAACCTCGCGGAGGCATCAGCAAAGATGAGCGCCGCTCGGACAACGTGGCCCTCCACAACGCTGCAGTGAATGCAGCCACAGACGCCAGCCTCCAGCTGCTGGAGGACATCCGGTTAGCTGCTGGGGACAATGACTTTCTGAGGTATGACGTTCAGATATCTCCATCTCGAATTGATGTAGACTCTCAAAGTTTTACTTAATGATTTCACCGTCCAGACATGGGGGTGATTCAGTTTACCTGACCTTTAATTCTCCACTCTCTCTCTTTCTCACAGAATGATGGGGATTGCTCGCTCATCCGTCGTATGTTTTGTTATTGACACCACTGGCAGTATGTCAGATGACATCAAGGAGGCCAGGGAGGTCGTCTACGAAATAATTGACAGCAAAAAAGGAACGCAGGACGAGCCATCCGAGTACATCCTGGTACCATTCAATGACCCCCGTATGGACTCTTCTACCTTAGTGATTATCTAGAAAATCATTAGTTGTCTTAGACCCCTGGTGGTTTGATAATGCCATGTTATGCAGTATATCTAATGCTTGGCCACATAGTTGTAACACTAGTTAACAATTAGTGTATGATCTTATGTAATGTAGAGATACGAACAGTTACATTAAGTCAAAAATACCTTGAGCCACAGGTTAGTCTTGGCACTTAGCCCCTTCTCTGTGCTTTATATGTAGATTTTGGACCTCTGATCAAGACAACAGACTCCGATACGATGAAAAGAGAAATCTCTAAGCTCAGAGCGAGCGGAGGTGGTGATATCCCTGAGATGTGCCTGTCAGGACTTCAGGTACTTATACTATAATCTTTAATAACTTGGGTGGCTGTTGATGTTCCAGATATTTTTCATGAACCCCTTGAATACTGTGGTGATGCAGAAGGAACTGAGAAGGTTGATTGTCTTATTTCTCCAGTTGGCTCTCACCGGTGCTCCTGACTCCTCCCACATCTATGTTTTTACTGATGCTCAAGCCAAAGACATTGCCCTCAAGGCCACTATTGTTTCTCTCATCAGGAGCTCCAAGTCAACGGTAAATACTGACCAACACCTAAAGATGCCCTGTGTTCATTCAGTTTACTTAAGTGAATTTAACTTGAAAGGCTGGGGGTGTAATCTCCACATTTAATGATTTCCACAGGTGTCATTCTTTATGACCGGGCCCAGCAGGAGGAGCCGTCGTTCCCTCTGTGCTAGCTCCTTTGAAGACTACAAGGACCTGGCTTTGGCTTCTGGAGACCAGGCCATCCAGGTGTCTAAGAGTCAGTTGCCTCAGGCCACAGACGTCATCCTTGACACCTCCACTTCAGCTCTGGTAAAACTACACAGTTCTAATAGTATATTCTGTACTATCTGAAGCATGTAGCCTTCAGTGGTTGGTACAAAAGTGGCAAATCATCTGGCTCTTCTTTTTTCCCTTCTCTCTCAGGTGACAGTTCTTCAGCGAGCAAGGAACCCTGGGCAGAAGGAGATATTTCCCTTCATGTTGGATGAATCTCTGAAAAATATCATCTACATCACAGGGCAATCCATTACTTTCACGCTGACCAACCCTGCAGGTAACAAATCATTTTGATTTGCAGTGTTTGCACCGGTTTAAGACAATGTAAATGCTTCACAATCATTGGGTTTCTTTTTTTGTCCTGCTGAGAATATGATTGTGATACATATTCATGAATAATGAATGAATGACATCAATTTCCAGGTGTGAGCCAGAACCACAATGAGGCCAGCGGTAAACTGGGGACCATACGCACAGTGGGCAATCTGTGGAGAATTCGTCTCCACGCTGACAACAAATCAGGGACCTTCGGGGGACCTCATCCAGGCTACGCAGTACTCAGTGGGCGTCCACAAGCAGGTACAATACATTCAATAGAGCAATGATGGTGTAATTAAGAGTCTCTAGGAACTCTAGGATACTTGCTAGTGAATGTTTATATCTTTTAATGTAATTATATTTTCCAATCTTAAAGATGTCTCATGGGACAATGGGTGGTCTCTGTGCAAGGATAGCATCATCTAGTGGTGAAAAATAAGTGACAAGCTTCTTGTTGCGTAATGGTCTAGCTCAGGCAGACAGAAAGATCATCTTTAAAGCTCCTATTCCTAATATAATATTATCGACAAAAGATCACATGACTACTTGTTTGTAAAAGAATGAATATTCAGAGATAATAATCACCTGACTCTGCAGTCCCCCTCAGCTCTTTTAGAGTTTTAGCGTCCTTTCTCAAACATAACTAATAACAGAGTGGATGTTGGACTCACATTTGCCAGATGTACAGAAACACGGCTCTGAACAAATGCTAAATCTTGCACTTGCTTTGTGTCTGCTGGGTGTGTATATTAGCAACTGTTTGCTAAAAAGTTTGCCATAACATATGGTGACCAGATTTCCTGGTTTGTCCATGATCGGACCAGTTTCAAGCTGGTTGGCCCGAATCTCCTCAAACATCTGTAAAACACTAAAAAGTCCCAGTTTTCTCCACAATTAAATTAAATTATTACCTAATTCAGTATCAAAACATAAACACCTTTTGACAGAAATCAGTAGACTAACGGTTAGCTCTCATGCCAAAGAGAAAGGTTAAGAGCTACAGGGGGCTTACTTCTTTATTCTTAAAGTACCGGGCATCAAAAATCTGCACACACTGCAAGAGTAGCCTACTATTTAGATCACACACGGTGGAAATGTCCATATGAAAAATCATATTCAGACGGCAAAACACATGACGTGCATAAGTGCTTTCATATGCGCATGTACGTTCGGCACACTTAAGGGTCCCGGTTTGAAAATATGGTCACCCTACCGTAACAACTTTATAAGGTGAGAACATGTCTGATTACAGCCGGGGTCCACTGCAAGAAGAAATCCATTATTGCTTAAAATAAGACTTATCTGAACATTTTAGGCCCAATCAAACATGATTGTTTGATGATTATGAAGCATCCTTCCAGCCCCCATTCCCCAAAACATCTAATGTCACTTTTTGCCATGAAAATGAATGTTCCTCATGTTTTTGTCCCTACCTTACATCTGAACTTCTCTCTTCTGGAAACCCAGGCCAGCCGGCCACTCTGATGCTCTCAGTAATGGGTAGGAAAGGTCCGTCCTCGATGACCATAGGAGATGTTGCCCTAGTAACTGTGTCTGGTCCTGAGACTGTTAGAAATAGCACAACAAGTGACATGGGCAACGGAGACATTCTGGTGACTGTTGACGGTGTCCCTGAGGGGGAGTTTGTGGTCATCCTTAAAGGAACTGACAAAGTGTCAGGCAGTGAATTTCAGAGACAGTCTACCACCCAGATGTCCATCTCTAAAGTGAACATCAAGGTTGGTTTCTTCGCTTCCTATTCATATCCTGTGTACACACTCAAGCAGGTTTTGTTTTAATTAAACTAAGATGAATGAATATAAACACTTTTGTAGTATGTAAGAACAATTTCACTCTTCTTTACCTGTTTTGTTTTTTATTCTTTCACTTCCATTTTACATTTAGGCTGTGGTGGACAGCAGTATGGAGCCAGGAAAAACCTTCTATCTCCCCTTCAGTGTCATGACCAAGGGCTCTGGTGGTCAATACTCCATCAGCGCCAGAAACGACAAAAGCTTCCCCATGTCCAACCCAGCCAGGTGAGGAGAAGCAGCTAAGAAATATTCGTCTGTTAAATATCCTTATTGGTACTGACACATCTCTAAATGTACCCAGTCTGCTGCCTGAAGCTTGGGGCAAAGTTACATCCGAGTGGAGTACCTTTGTGCAACCCCACCCACTAGTTGGAGTGAAGGCCACAGGCAGGCTTAAGGCAGCAGTATGCTCTGTTACAACTGCTCAGATTAGGGGGCACCGTGTCCAACTATTTCTGTAATTTTCCGGAATCAATGATCCGACATCTACACCCCATTCACATCGTGACTGGTCATTTGTGTGGAGGTTAAAAGTAAGCTGAGTCTGAACTTCCTCTAGCGTGGATTTAAACTTTTAATAGTATTCACAGTAATAGCTCCTTTAATCACAAAGTGTATTTTTCTGTCTTCTCTCGACAGTCTCACCTTGACAACTGGACAATATGCTAATTCTACTATAACCATCACGTCACCTGCCGACACACCATCAGGCACTGACGTCACTCTGACTCTGGAAGCCAAGTTGTCCAGTGGTGTTGACTCCAACTACGTCGTTTTGAGATTCTCTGTTGTTAACAAGGTAATCAGACACCTGTTGGATTACACAGATGGAAACAGTGAAATAAACTAGTGAAGAGAGTGCTGCAGGATTGAGTGCAGAAACCCAGGAATGAGTCGGCATTATCCATCTTCTGGTTCCCTTTCTTGTTTTGAATGGATTTTTGGATAGATGCCTGGAATAAGTTATGTGGTTAATACAGTTTAAGATTTTTTTTATAAGTTTTGTTTTACCATTTAAATACGTCAGTAAATACCCGACTCGTGAACTTTGAAGCTTTTACGCGTCATAAAAAGGCGGTTACTAACAATTGGCTCAACGAGAGTTCAAAAGGTCATCAAACTGACCACCAGTCTGCCTTTAGCTTCGTGGTGGTGACGTGAAGTCATGCGACCATGGTCTGCTGTTCCTTTGTGAAGATTACTGAATTAGACGTGTAAGTATCGTAAACATATGTTTGCCACCGAGTTTATTTTCTGCAATAATCCAAAAGCCAATGGAAAAATCCCATTGGCTTCTGTTGAGGGAACCAACCTTCCAGGTTGGCCTACAAAAATACATCATCACTCCAGCACTCCATTACAATGTTTTTGAACATAGAGCCACAAAGATGGCTTTTACAGATGCACTTCTTCAAAATGTATACAATTATTCACCATATCTGGCTTTTGCTGTGATTCATGAATTAAATAATACCTTTTGTTTTCCTCTTCTCGGTCCAGATTACAGATTTTGTTCCGCCCTTGTGTGAAGTGGTTCACGTGCTGGCTGATGATTGCCCTCAAGATGTGTGTCAGTGTGAACCTTTCCAGTGGGAGCTGGCGGCCACCCTTACAGACGGAAATGGTACCGGAATAGAGAGCGTTTCCCTGCGCCAGGGCAGTGGAAACTTCACAACCACTTTTCTGAGTGATCCCATCATTCAGGCCAACTACACAGCATCCTGCTGCTCGCAGATCGTTGAGTTTGTAGCTGTAGATAAATTTGGAAATGTGGGCAAGTGCTATCACTCCATTGTACGCTCTGCAGGCCCTCCTGCCTTAACTGTGTCACTGCCACTGTGGTTGTGCCTGCTGGTATCTGCCTTTGTAACAAGGTTTTGAAGGGCTTAAGTTAGGTTGACTTTGCTCTGCATCAGGTATTGGATAAACCGTTTTATTAAATCGGTTTTAAACGGTGGTTATCTAATGCTCAGATATCCTGCTTAAATAAAGGTGAGCACTGATAAGCAAACAGATGAATGTATGCTTATGTTTTCAGAAATTTAATATTTCTGATAAAAATAAAGAAAACATTTAGTTGTATAGTTAAATATTTTTCTCGTGTTTGCAACGGGTTAGCTAAAGTTTGAGCATGAAGCAAGACTCATCTTTTAAACACATATACTGCCAAAACACACATTTGTCAGTTATCTTTGATGGACAGATTGTTAAGGAATAAGCATTTAATTTGTTGCCCAAAGGTAACAAAAGGCTCCCTTTTCATGGTAACATATTTTTTTGTGTAGTGCATAGTATACAGTTGGCATATGGTGGGTTCTGATATTTTTCCAACAAATCAATAATATTCAAAAGGAAATGGGCAAATGGACCTTCTCTAAATAATACAATATGTTCTGTAACATTCCATTCACCTCCACTGCACTATAATGGGGGCAGAAATGTGTTTCATATACCTTTGGGAGAAACAACCATAGTGAATACTCATGTCGGTTGCAACGTGTTCATCATTCTAAATACATATCGCCATATAAAAATGAAGGCATTTCAATATTAACCTAGAGTGCATTGGATTGTTTTAATTCAACTCATACGATGAGCCCTTCATCAGATGGAATGAGCACAGTACGCCTAAAGGATACGGACACGAAGTGCTTGTGTTAGTTGTTTTGTTCAACACAATAACTGCAGGTTATTATTTTACACGAATATAAAACTAATCACAGCTGTATGGCAAGTGTCAAAATTGAAAAAAAACCAAAAAAAAAAAAAAAAAAAAAAACTTGCCATGTATTAGAATAAATGGTGCACTTGCCCTCAAAATAAAGTTATCCTCAACAATGCATTGCGTAAAGAATAGTCTTTCATTCATTCGGTTTTCAAATAATATACATTTTCTGAAATGGAAATGTTCTTACTAAAGAAAATGACCAAGTAGACCTACATCGGCAAAAATGATTTCAAACAATAATATAAGTTTCCTGACAAAAGTACACAGAAGGGGATCAGTTTGACGCCTCTACATTTATTACCTCTTTTCTCAAATGACAGGATCAAGAAAATATACATCTCAATAGCACTGAAATAAACGTAAATTCAGAATATTTACAAATTCTTACATGGTTTGATGTCTAAAACTGTTTAAATGAAGTTAGCGCTTTTAGAAAAAGGAAAAACAAGATGGAAATAGGATTTACCAAAGCAATGACATCGATTCTGTCGCTTGTAATACAGCAGAATGTTAGACGCAATGACAATATGAGACTTCTGCTCAGCTCTTTAAACATTATTGCACAACCAGTACAATAAATCCTCGTTACCAGAAGTGAAAGGCAATGTCATGAAAAAAATTCAATATAATGAATCGTAATTGCATTCATACGATTTACGTTTTTAGAAGTAAATAACAATACTTACAAATACTTCTTATGCATGTTCCAGCTGTCAGAATGTCACTTTAACGTGGTGAAAGGAGGTGATCTAAACGTTTTTGATAATAGGTATACGCTACCATTTAGAGCTTGGTAGTAAAACAATTCAAGCGATATCACAACAGCAAGAGATTTGAACATATTTGCTGGGGTTATTTTAAAATGATGACAGTAAAACTGTGTCATGCAGATGTTTGCACTATAACCCATATCCAAAACAGCTGTTTCATGTACATCATAAAGGCTATATTGAGGTTAGTGTCAGATTAACATTTGCATTTTTAAATTACGCAACAAAATCTTTTGATATCACTTGTTCAATCAACAAACTAGAAATGAATGGTTGAAATGCACCATTAGTCTCAAGATCACATTTACTGAGGACATGACTACTTTAGCATGTGTGTATTCTTAACAACCGACCAAAGTTTAAGACATTGTCAGAAATCTTCATTCACGTCTCCACTATGCAATGGGCTTAAAGTGCCCTAAAGAAAGAATTAAAAAAATAGATTTGTTCTTTTGATGCACAGCTGTGAGACTTATCACTCCGAGCATAGAGACAATAGGTTTAGCTTAGCATAGCAGAGAAATTGGGAGCAGAGGGAACTGGCAAGCCTGGCTAAGTCCAAGGCCTCCAAAGCTCTTCAACGAACATGTTTTGAATGATTTTTTTAGTATCTGCATGCCTTGTACAATTTAAAAAAAGTTTTACAGGTCCTGCATCCAATCTCCTCCCTGCTCTCGTTCCACACACGGAAGCGTGACATTGATACTAATCTTCTCATCCAACTCTCGGAAAGAAAACAAAAACGCGTATTTCCTAAAATGACAAACTAATCATTCGAGTCTTCATAAACACAAAACAACAAAATCCCCCTTTGATACGCACATCATGAAAAATAAAATGAAATGAAATTCTCTATTGGCATTACATAGCAAAACAAAAAACAAATCCTCATCAGATTCTTTACACAAAAAGCAGTCTCATGTTACAAGACTTTAGATCTCTCTCCTTAATTACATTGACATTCTCACTGGAGCAGGGTGGCAGCTTGGATGTCCATCTCTCATAGTACTTTATGTACATTTTTTACATGCTTTTTCAGGTGGCCTGACTGTGTGAAGTTCTTGGGACAGTGGGGGCAGGAATGAGGTTTCTCCCCTGTGTGGATATACTTGTGCCTTTTCAGGTTATTGAAGTCTAAAAATCCTTTCCCACAGAATGGACACCAGTGTCTCTTCTCCCCATTATGCCACCTTAAATGCACATTTAGTTCTACCCTCCTTGCAAATTTCTTTTCACAGAGGTTGCAATGGAATGGTTTCTCTCCTGTGTGCATCCGTATGTGGGCTTCCACATCTCGTTTTGTGAAGAACCCCTTGTTGCAAATCTGGCAGATAAAAGGTTTAAGCTTCCTGTGCACCATCTGGAGGTGTTTGGTGAGGCCGAAACGGTAGACAAAGCCCTTCCCGCACTGCTGACATATATGGATCCTACCATTGCGGTGCACCCTGCCATGCCGTTTAAGACCTTTTGAGTCTGGGAACCTCTTCCCACAGAGCGTGCACGAGAAAGGTCGCCGACCTGCGTGGAGACTAACATGGCTTTCCAGGGCAGCAACGCTGCTGAGGACACGGCCGCACTCGCCACACTGGTTCTTAAGCAGTCTCCTACCAATGACTGATAAAGGCTGTAATGGTGATACAACAGGTGGTGCTGAGACAGGTATAGGGAGGAGAGAAACACTGGCTGGGAAAACAAATGCATGATCGTGCAATCTAAGTGATAACGGCGGCTCTTTCTTTCCCCCTGCCATGGGTGCTTTACTGGCTGAAATTCTAGGAGGAGTCCACACCGCTTTAGCTGTACATTTCCTCACAGCCTCACAGCTAGCACGGTTCTCTGCTAACTGGCCTGGTTTTGCTCCATTCAGCAATTTTGATTGACTAGAATTTGTCAATTTAGCTATTGTTTTGGCTTTTGCCGCTTTAGCCAACTTCTTAGCATCCACCACTATTAATTTCTGTTTAGGACCAGTACCATCTTGAATTAATCTGGGTTTCTTAGCAGGAGTGGACTCCCTTGTCTTTCTAGGACTGACACAATCTTTAGCCAATTTAGGCCACCTAACACTTGAGGAACCCGTTTCACTCTTAGTGTTTTTATTGCTAGCACTGTCTGTAGTTATGCTATACCTAGGACTGAAGGAATTGGATTCACTTTTATTCATCTTACTGCTAGAACCATTTTTAGGTAAGGTACACCTCCTACGGCAAAAAGAAGATGATTCATCAACAGACACTTTAGTTGTAGTACCATTTTTACTTAAACTTGACGTCTTTTGACGCACAGATTTAGCTTTTTTAGGAATAGCATCATCTCTACTCGAACTAGTCCTCTTAGGACTCAAAGAAATGTTTTTGGTATTTTTAGAGCTAGCCCTCCGAGGACTCACAGAAGTGGACTTTGTCTTTTTAGGGTTTGCACTTTCTTTAATTGAGCTAGACATCCTAGGACTCACAGAAGTGGACTTTGTCTTTTTAGGGCTTGCACGTTCTTTAATTGAGATAGACCTAGGACTTACAGAAGTGGACTTTGTCTTTTTAGGGCTAGCACTCTCTTCCATTGCTGTAGACCCCCTACGACTCACAGAAGTGGAATTTTTAGTTTTGGAGCCTACACTATGTGCACCTGAACTAGACTTCCTGGGAGTCACAGGAGCAGATTTTCTAGCAGCCTTAAACCTTCTAGAACTGATAAAAGACGGTTCACTAACATTCTTCTTCGGTCCAACATCCGCTTCGCGTAGTCCAGATCTCCTAGGACTAACAGCAGTGGGGTCATTAGTTGTCTTTTTAGGAAATGCAACATCTTCAACTGCTCCTGGGTCTTTTGGGCTGATGGGTATAGGTTCTCTAGTTGTGTCTTTATTTTTTGGACTTACATTCTCAAGCCTACTTTTTTTAGGGTTTACAGTGGGGGTCTCTGTTGCTTTGCATGGTTCTGAATTAGTTTCAGTTCTTCTAGCTTGCAAGCGAGTTTTGAGATGACTTCGGAGTTGGGCTACAAGGGATTTTTTTTGTAACCTTTTCTTTTCACTGGTGCTGGTCTCTGCAGCTGTGGCCTTTACCGAGTCGTCAGAGGAGACCTATAACAAAAAGCATCATGACAAATTATCCTTGAATATCTATACCATCAATTAGTTTATGATTAAATTAAATGAAAACTAGAGCACAACATTGTTTATAGTAAAAAAAAAATAGTTAAAGAATATTGCATGGTTCGTTTTTCCAATATTGGGCAGCCCTAGTGTAAATAATAGTGCAATTATATTGCTTAACAGACTGAGAAATGTTGACTACTATATTACCTGTTTTGGTTCTTCCGGTACAGGTGTCACTGCCAGCTGCGCCAGGAACTGGGCTTTAGACATCTGCAAATGAGGATCAGATGTGTCCTTGGTGGTGATGGGGGTTAGATGTATTAGGGCAGCCGATTCTTCCTCTTCCATAGGTGGGTCATTAGATGATGCAAAATCTTGCACTGCAATGCTGATTATCTCCTCATCAGAATTATAAGCAGGTTCACCCGCTGTACCCTTTAGAGCTGGTTGTTCAGTCTTGTTGATGACTTTTGGGGAGTTCTCAACGACTGGTGCCGACACCTTGGATGGTGTAGATGGCCTGCTGTCAGGAGAATCTTCTTCCAAAATGACGCAGTTTTCACAGGATAACGATGCCTTCTCTTGAATGTCATTTGGCTCTTCTGACATCTGAGAGGCATTTACAAGCAACACAACAGAACTTTCTTTTAAACTGGGACAAATGTCAGTGGATAACACAAGCTTCTCTGATGGCCGTGTTGATATGACAACAGATGAAGGTTTCTCTTGTGTGGTATCTTCTTTCAAAATGGATTGACTTTCAGGAGATCCATCTGTAGGCAGTCTTGAGACTAAGACTGCTTCTTTGGCCGATACTGGAAATGGGAGCCTGGTTAATCTGACCACAGCAGAGAGTTTTTGGTTTACACTCGGTGGTACAACTGGAGACACAGAGGTTGGCACTAGCCCAACTGACATGTTTGAACTGGAACAGGTTTCTGGAGATGCATTTACCGGTTCAGAAACAGAGGCAGTTTGTTTGGGAATGTTGTACAATGTTTTATACTTCTTTTGAGACGATATTGCGGCTACTTCATCTAAAACTGTTTGTGTATCCACAGAAATGCTTAACTCCTGCGATGAAGGCGATGACACCATAACAGCAGCTGATTTTGTGGACTCTTGCGTGGCTGTCGGAACAATTGTCTGTGACTGGCGTTTACTTGATGCCACAGCTGACGCCTGTCTCGGAACTATAATTGTTATTTTTGGACGCGGTAAAGTCCCTGACTGCAGGTCAGTCAAGGTGGTGGTTGACTGTGACGGGACAACAGGAAGCGATTTCCTGGACGTAATGTGTGTTGTTTTTGGAGGAACAGAGGAAAGTGGAGGTGTTTTGAGAAGTTCACTATTTTTCTGTGCAGCAACAACTGTTGACACAACAGTAGGAAGCTGGGTTGGTGACAGTGCTTCTATTTTACGGCGTATTAATGAGGATACTGAACCTGGCATGAAAACTATTTTATAAGGTACCGCCTTAACAGGTTTGCTGGGTGCTACCGACGTTATCAGAGGACGGGGAGGAGGGTGCTGCTGCAGTGACCGTACACTTGTTGGAACTGCAGCAGTTAATGATGTCGTATTGGTTGGAGTGACTGTATGCTGTTGTTTTGGCAGGACAACCTTGATGTGGGCCTGAGCTTCATTAGTTACGGTGGCATCTAATGTCACAAGAGCGCTACCAAGTTTCTCTTTTGTCAATTGTGCAGGCTCTGCTGGGATCTCGTCCACGGTCTCTAAAGTACCCACACACTGGGTTTGAGGTGGTGCTGCCGTTCGTTGAGAAGATGTCACTGTATCTTCAGCTGTTGACTGATTCATGGCTTCAACTAATAGTATTGCATCCTGAAGAGTAACAGAGCTGCGGCGTTCTCTGGGCTGAACATTTGGAGTGTTTAGTGTTTCATTTGCAGATGAAACGTCAGTGAATGGACCCTTAATGGCCCCTTTTTCCATTTCCGTGGAAGGTTGTTGAGATTCAGATGGTTTTTCCTTTTCAGAGGAACATATTTTACTTAAAGATACTTCTGAAACAGTGAGAGAACCAATTTCTTTCACTGGACGCTGCAGATTTTTAGCTTTCTTTGGTGGCCGTCCTCTTCTACGTTGTACTGACAACTCAGGCTGGCGACTAGCCTCATTTTGTGTCACACTACTTTTTAATTCTTCACATGTTTTTCCTTTCTTGAGCGGTGTAAGCTGTGACAGCTGTTGTTCTGTAGATTCCACATCTGCATGTTGCTGAGCGTCAGCCTGTTCACTTACTGACACTTCAATCTCTCTTTGACATTGTTGGTGTTTCACCAATGGTTGCTCTTTTTCAAGGGATTCAACCTCTGATTGATGCTGAGCAACTACCAATGGGAGTTTTTCCTTCTCACTGACTTCAGACACTTCTTCCATGTTGTCTTTTATTGCAGCGAGTGAGAGGACTTGTGAATGCTCTAATTCAGAAGATTGGTTCTGAGCTCCTTGTAAACCGCTATCCATTCCCAAATAGGGCAACTCCAAGATCCCTTCATTTTCAGAGGCCTGTGGTGAACCTAGGCACAGCAGTGAGAAAGACATGTCATAGGAAACAAGAGTAACAAACCTTACCAAATTTTGTAAATCTTGCCTATGATCAAACTTTAGTTTGGAAAATAAAAGTCTCTTTTAATTCCTCACCTGCTTTTTCACTCAAGACTTGCCCACAGACAAGGGCTTCATCTTCCTCTTGCTTCAGGACAGACTGCTGAGAAGAATCATCATAAGAGTCCTGCAAAGGGACGAGAAAAAGTTAATTTTCATAGACATAAATGGGAAAATAGGTTTGTTGATTGTGAAGATACACACCCACCTCCTGTTTGACAAGTATAAAGGTCATTTGAGTAGTTCCCTCTCCATAGGTGTGGTCCTGCAAACTGTACTCCATCTGCTCATAACTGCATTGTTGCTCTTGGTTTTGCAATGATGAGTGCAGTGGTTGACATTGCTCCACCAGCGTTGTGCGGAGAGGAACAAGGTCTGGAAACAAGCATACAAAAACTGGTGATTTTTAAGAATACAGTCCTGAATCTTTATAAAAATAAAATAGGGTTATAACTGTTAATAAATGTGTTTGGTCTGACTCAAGGTAAATACATAGAAAAGAAGCATGCTAATATACAAAGAACTAGCTTGCATGATCTTCTCTGACAGCTCAAATATTGAGTAGACTCTGATGAAACAAGGGCCAGGTGCCAGACATACAGGAAACATACAAACAAAATAAAACATGCATTCATTATTTCACACAAATATGTTACTAATAAAAACAGAGTGCGGTGGGATGGTATATATAATAGGGGTGTCACGACTTTTTTTCCTGACCAATAGCCGACCCCTCGTTAACAGATCATTAACCGTTACCCAACCAGATAAGTGCCTTGATGCAGGGGTGCTGCGGCTGAAGTGCCAACAAGCTGCAGATTTGTGTCCATTTTGACGGACAAACTCATAATTAAAAGGACAATTTAAAATTAAATTCTCTTGGTTTGGTGATGGATCAATGTAGCGGGAATTAGATTTGATAATCGCATCTCAACCATCTCAATGATGGGCGACTTTTTACCCCGCTTTGGCCGATCAGAACAACTACAACAGCTCTGAATTGCTGATGTAGTCGGACAACACAATGTAAGAACCACTTCAGTGTAGGGCTGGGCGGTATGACCAAAAATGCATATCACGGTATTTTGTAAGATTCTGGCGGTTTCACAGTATTTTTTTTTCTGCGTTAAAGCATTAATTAATTAACGCCGAAAAGAACCGGCCAGCGAGCGGTGAACAGCCGTTTGTGTGGCGTGTCTTCCGTTCCGTCACTTCCTGTTTCCTTCACCTACATTCCCCTGGGTCCTAAGCCCCTCCATGTACAGCTTCTTATCACGTCTATGTACTAACGTACATTTATAACAAATACCACACATATTACGGAAATCAGCGTTGCATATGTGTCCGACCTAAATACCTTTTGTTGTTCAGTCTTTGTTCATCCTGCATCGCTCTTTTCTGTTCTTTTATTAATGTAACGTTACTGGAGCGACAGAGCCTCTCACCAGGGTTAGTTGTGGGTTGTTAATTGTTGTTATAAAGTTATAACCATGACTAGGGGTCCCTCTCAATACACTTAAGACAACTAGCTCCGTCCGTAGCGCGCTCAGCGGCGAACAATATATTTTGCTGCCTGTTGAAGAGCGACAGAAGTTGTTTCGGCTGTGCACCGGTATGACGGTATATGAAAAATTCATATCATACTGGAAATTGAAACCGGTATACTGGTTGACTGGTATACCGCCCAGCCCTAATTCAGTGCATGTATTCCTCCCTCGATTAAGGGGACTATTGCAACTCAATGTGGCTAGTTGGCAGTGGCTTTCATTTGAAAGATACACATCAGTACATAAGCTTGGTCAATACACGAACACAAGCCTGGGGTCTCATTGATAAAACAGTGTGTAGGACCCACACTAAATGTTTGCGTACGTTCAAAGGAGGAAATATACGTTCGGCAAAAAATATTCAGATTTATAAAACCTTGCGTACGCAGCCAGTGCGCAGTATCCTTTTATAAATCCCAAACCAACCTGTAGATGTGCGCAGTTGGTTCAGCCTTCCATCTCGCCCTCTACACTCCCACATTCAACCATAAATGGTCAATGCAAAGCACCGTATGAATGTTGATGCATAGAAATGAGCTGCTGATCAGAGAGTCTTTACGGAGAACCACGGAGACTACCGAGAGGAAGAACACTCGTTATCACTCAACTCTTCCATTGACACAGTCCAAACAGTGCCAGAGAATCTATTGTGCAACGTAACACATCACAAGTCTCACCGTAGTATTTATGTTTTCAGCAATCAGACTGATTGCTTACAAAATGATCGTGACAATCGGTGGTATCCACCACCCTGGGTAATATATATATATATATATATATATATATATATATATATATATATATAT